GCCTCCCGAGGAAGGGTCTCTGCCCCTGCTGTGCCCTGGCTCTCCTTGGTGAACCAGCCCCCCCTGCTCCATGCTCTTCAGCCTTCAGGGCTTGCAGATGTCTGGTGGCTTCCATTCGGTCCCTGGCGGTAGCCACGCTACACCTGATGCCCTCACACAGGACACAGGTACAGGGTCGGAGCAGAAAAGGAAACTGAGGGGTAGGAGGACGTCTGCCACGGGGCAGAGAATCCACAAAGCATGGGATGACTGGCATGGCGGGACAGATGAGGCCTGCTGAGTGCCAGGCATGTCTCGCTGCCATGCCCCTTGTGACAGCTCCAGCGTGTGCCAAGGGAACTAAAGGCTGCAGGTGGCAAAGTGGATTTTCTCAAAAACTGTTGCAAGCGTGAGCAGGCACCTTACACTAGAAGGGATGTGCCCATCAAAGAGCATGGCAGATACGTGAATTCAGAGGTGTTGGGAAGGAAAGGTGTCGGGAAGGGAAGGCGTCCCAGTTGCTGCACACATGCTGTGTAGCTCAGGCCTTGCATGCTAAAGCAGGGTGCAGGAAGTGTGTCCCCATGACCACACTGTAACAGGGCTCAGAGCAGGAGCTGCACTACTGTCTGCTACTTCACAGCAGCTCAGCCCTGAAGCCAGGAGGGGAAGGAAATGCAGAGCTTTTTCTTTTCTATACGTTGTTCCTGGCTTTGTAATTAAGGACTGCAAGAATAAACTTGCAGCATTGTCACCTGCAAGGACGGCAAGAGCATGGTGATTGCATAAAGACAAACTGAGGTGCATCAGCCCTGTACAGGTGAACTTCGCAAGCAGCAGGAACAGGCCTTTGCATCTGCCTCTGCAGCCCTGTATAAGAAGGGTCAACTTGGAGCAGGGATCCAAGAGGAGGGATCCTCCAAAAACTCTATCCAAAAATGGCAAGGAGTAATCAGGAAGCTGGAAAATCTGGAGGAGGACAACTGGGGCCTCAAAGTCCAAACAGGAAGTTTCTGCAGCTGACATCCACTGGAAACCAAAACGTGGAAGCAGAGGGACAGTCAGGCAACACTGAGTAGAGTTCCCACCATTGATGGAGGAGGCGGATGAGACATAAGGGGAAACGTAATGCAAGTTCCCGTTAGAGCACATGCATCAGGCTTACAAATCACTGGTTTTGTCAAGCAACAAAGGCACAAGTGTTTGGACTTGTTTGGACTTCTGAGTTTTTAGGGTGAGAGTACGAGCTAGGGTGTTTCTGTTTCTGAGGAGAGCCAGAACCTGTCCAGGCAGCAAGCCACAGCAGATGCCATGTGCCATCCCTCCCCACTCACCTTGCTCCGCAGCAGCCCTCCACTCGGTCGCTCTGGTGTGCTGTGCTCCGAGGATGGCTTTGTCTTTTCCTTGTTGTTGTTGGAGTCGTTGTCCTTGATGATGTCATACTGTCTGCAGAAGAGGGCGATGACCGCTGCGAAAGACAGGGATGAAGGACTCCCTCACAGTGGCTGCCTGCTGCATCCCCTCCCCACCGCATCCCAGGGCACCCTGGGCACAGTCCCGCCCAGGGCACCCTGGGGTGCTGGTCACCCACATCCTCCACCTGTGTCTGCCTGGACCACCCCAGGCACCTCTGCACACGGCCTGGCCAGCCCCCTTGGGCAGACAGGGCACGGATGTGGCTAAAGCTATCAGGGCACATGGGAGGTGCTCGGTGCCTACGGCTCAGGGCTCTGAGGCCGAAGGCAGATGTGGAGGCACTTGGAGAGGGATAGCCCTTGAGGCCAGTAAGCAGATGAGCGGGTTTCTGAGCGCCTCCAGCAAGGCACTCAAGTTCTTGCTCCAGTGCTTGCAGCCCTCACAAAAGCCAGCCCTTGGCTTTGTCCTGTCTTGCAAACTGACTGTGGGGTCGGTCACTCATGGTTTTACAGCACCATCTCACACAGCACACGTTTCACGCCCTGGGACCCTGGAGCAAGGTTTGGAATCGTAATCACTAGACGTGTTGGACCCATTCGAACCCCAGTGCGTTATCACAGCCACTCGCAGACTGGCACTGACACAACCACCTGCACGAGGTGTAAGCTACTCTTCCAGTGCACTAGAAAAGCGTTCAAGGGCAGGACAAGGACAGATCCCTGCAAGATGCCTCTAGACAATCCACACTTTCTGGGAAGGCAGTAGGGGACAAATGACTTCCCACTCACAGCAGCTACATGTCAGCAGTCAGGAGCTGACTGCTATCTCCCAGGTGTCCTTATTCCCAGGGCAACGTGCTGTTTGGTAGAGCACTGGCTTCAACCAGGGGCTGTACAGGAGCACATCGCCCATCTTACAGTTTTAGCAGACTGAAGCACGGCCACTACCAGCCAGTGCAGCGATGTTCTCGATGTCAGACAAGCTAGCTAAGGCCCAAGTTACACGATAGTTAATGTCAGCTGGGATGCTTCCACCCTATAATTCTGTATTGCTTGAGTCTCACATTGTCCCCTGCTCTTCCAGCACAACAGTCCGGCCAGCCAGCCCACGTGCTCCAGGCCATCACTGCTGAGCAGTGGCTGTGGTTGCTCCTTTCACCCCACAGGCTCAAGCTCCTACAGAGACTCAGTGAACTTACTGGAAAGGATGCCAGACCCATAGCAATATGCCTCTGCACTCTCTTGAGCCCCATCCTCTTTGTGGACCCTGGATTGCACCTCTGCCCCAGCTTGCTGGAACGTTGCCTGTGGCACTCACCTGCCCACATGAGCAGCACAGCCACGATGATGATGATCTCGCCTGTCTGCAGCTGCCTGTCTTTGTCCAGCCCTTCCATGGTGATGTCACCTGCAGAGAAGAGAACCCAGGCAGGGCTGGCAGCAGATGCCCTCCCACTAGAACCTACTTCAGGACCAGCAACACTCGAGGATCTGAGAAGGAGCTCCAGAGGAGAGAAGCCCACCTCCCCCAAACAAGCATGGGTGCGGGATGACATCTTGGCCGTGGCTTCCCTGTGTCAGATACTAACCATCCTTGCTACCAACGGCAGTCAGGGATTCTAACAGCTTGTTTGGGTTCAAGTAGAGACTGCACAATGTGTGGGAGTAATCACTGAAGTTACTTCCTACACAGGGACCAGGGCAGGTTAGGAAGGCCCTGAGTTGAACACAGAAGTTCTAAGGAAAGTAAGCCATCTGCTTGCCATTATACTCTTCTCAAGCCCCCCTCTCAGCTAGTGCTGGCAACAGACTGCCCAGTGGACCCCCTCTGGGCATCGTCTGTCTTGGATTCTTTGATCATCTCTCATGCCAGCATGTAGGCAACCCCAAGGCAAAAAGGCACAACGTGGACATGAGCAGGAAAGGAGACTGTGGGGCTCCATCACTTGTCCTTTGGTAGCGTGCAGGCTGGGTGACCCGAGAGCCCATTCAGTATTTGATCCCTGCAGGCAGCAGCTGAGCGGGCCACAGCAGCTGTCCTGGCCACGGCTTGCTCAGCTGAATAGGGTGCCAAGACCGGGAATAGAAAGGCTGTAAACCAGGGCTTAGGGACATTACGGTGGCCATAGTGGACATGATGGCAGCTTCTACAACCCTGCCACCCGTTACAACCCTGTGCGTCCCAAGCAGCCTGCTGCTCGGGGCAGCACCTTCCTCGCTACCTGCTGGATCCCTGCCCACGTGCTGTGCAGACCTCCAGGAGCAGCCCTGCCAGCAGCATCCGGGCGAGCTGGAAGGAGCTCCTCACCTTGGTTGGAGCTGTTGGAAGGGAGGCGGTCGGTCTCCTTCAGGGTGCGGAAGTGGACACGCTTACTGGCCTGGCTTTCTCCATACAGGCCGATGCTCTGCACCTGGATGATGTAGTCCGCGTCCTCCGCCAAGTCCCACAGCACACAGGCCCGGTTGGTGGTGTTCACCTCCCGGATGAAGCGCTGCATCTGTCCATCTTGCCGCTGCCAGAGTGAAGAGCCATCATCCCTGGGAGGCTGCTCCCGGCTGCACCGGGCACAGGCCCTTGTCTGCAGGGCTGTGCTGGGCACACTTCCCTTACTCCTCCCTTCCCAGACAACCATCCACCCCCGGGCTGGGCCAGGCTGGCCAGCACTCTGCTATGCCGCAAAC